TTCTAAGTTTTCTCAAATTAAATTTTATTGCAAAATCAAATATTTTATGTTATTTATTTCTGGCAAAACAAATAATAATAAAAAGATAAACGAATGATGTTTGTCTTAGGAACTTATTTTGGTGGCTTTGTAAGTATTTTTTTTGTTTTTTTATGCTTTTTTCTCCTATCCGACTGCTTTTAACATTTATTATTTATCAATGGGGATAGTCGTTGTCCGGTTAAAATAAAATCATATCACTGCTTTGTGTTAATAATTATATTACCATATCATTTTTATCTCGTCAACTGTTATTTATTTGCATTTAATTAGGGATGTTATTCGGGTCGGAACCGAACCGAACCGACCCGAACCCGAATAAACCGAAAACCGAATAAGAGTAATTGTATGAACCAAAAACCGAACCAAATAAGCAATACGGGTTCGGTTCGGTTCGGTTCGGGTATTATTCGGTTCGGTTCAGTTCCGACCCGAATAACCCAAATAACATGTACAAGATGATTAAGGAGCTGAATAACCCGAATAACCCGGATAACCTAAATAACATTTAGAATGTGATTAGAAATATTGTATTTTGTATGACTTTTGTAGCTTATGATTTCATAACAAATCTTTTAAAGAAACAAATTAAAAGATTGAGTAGTAGATTAACACATTCAAATTTCAATGAGTAACATACATAATAACACATTGAAAGATTGAGTGGTAGATTAAGATACAAATACTTACTTGAGTTTCTTGATTTGGAACCCAATTTTTTATGACTTGAATGGAGTTTGATCACACTAGAAACTAGAAAACAAGGATGAGGAGACGATTATTTTTTCCAGACGCAAGCGCCGACTTTTTTCTTCATAACGTGAATGGACTTTGAAGTTTGAACTTTGAACTAGTGATGATCGATCAATGAGTCCAGGTTATCGCAAGTCGCAAGGGCAGCAGCCGCATCTGTCGATCAAAGAATAATGTCGCAAGGATGAGAAAAACCTCAATCGATCAAAGAGTAATGTCGTCGACTCGTCGATTTGGTGTAATACGCTACTGTCGATTTGGTGTAATACGGATGATCGAATTCGATTTCGTTGATTTTTTTTGGTGTATTACGTGGGTTTTGTTGGGTACCGATCGATAGAAAAGAAGACCGAATAAGCAATAGTGTTAGGAAAAAAATGTGACTTTTCATATTCTGTTCGGTCCTTTTGGACCGAATAAGCCCTTATTCGGGTAACCCGGACCGAATAACCCGAAAACCGAATAAGCCTTATATAGATACCCGAAAACCGAATCGAATTGCTTATTCGGGTCTAATTCGGTTCAGTTCGGTTCGGTTCGGTTTTCGGTTTGGTTCGGGTTTTCGGGCCAAATTCTCATCCCTACATTTAATTAGTATTGCTTGTGGATTAATTGCATGTGAGTTCATTAAGCCATATCTTGTAGATCCGCGACAACCAGAGTGTAGATTCAAAGTAGAATGTCCTAATTGGATAGAGTTTATTCAACGTACAAAATATTAATAAGATAAATGATCACATACCTCATCAGATAAATGATTACATACCTCATCAGGTGTCTTAACTAATTACAATTTTCTAAAATTTTCATCGGGAAGATTTAAAAGACAATGATGCTTCATTATATATGTGGTTGTTGCAATGTATTTTGATTTATTTGTGTATTACACTGTACTTCCAATTTTTTTCTTAATAAGCCTTTGTACATCAATAATCTACCCAATATAAATATAGCATTGTACTTTCATTTTTCCTTGTATGTCATTTCTATAATTGGTAAATGTTTCAAGTAAAAAGTTGTAATAGATATTACAGAATGTAGGATGGAACATTGAAAGCATATTGTTATTTCCAAAACGAAATGGAAGTACGATGCTATAGTACACATATAACGGAAAGTAAGATGTTATAAATGAAATACACATAAATGAAAAGTTAATTTCTTTTTTCGAGTAAATTACATTTTGGTCCTCGATTTTTACAATTTTGGTCCCAAAACGTTTTGTATAATTTTTCTAAGCTAATAGCCTAGTTGTTAAGACTTTTAAAACGACCATTTTGCCCTTGGATAGTGGGAAAAGTACACTACAAAAAGTAAATTTGTAAATAGCTCTTATCCTTTGATTTTGTTATAAACTTTCAAAAAAGAAGAGCACATCTGTGATTTATAAATTTTTATTCAAGGACATGCAAAAATTACAAAGTTAATCCTTGTCGTTATTGTTTTTTAGTTTTGGTCCAAGGGCAAACTGGTCATTATCAAATTTTGACAGCTAGACTATTAATTTCAACCCTTAATGTCAAACTAAATCAACACTTGAAAAATTATAAAGATAACTATGGTGGAATAGACAAATACCACCAACTATATCAGATGTGAGGGTTAATCAACTGTTAACCATGTCATTTTGATAGAGGTTCATCACCTGATCAGGTGTGCCATATTTAACATTATCATAAATCAATACTCACGCTCACAAAAAATTGTTTCCCTACAAAGCCAAGACACAAAATTAAGCTTTCAGTCGTTCCATTTATCCCTTGTTGTAAACATGTTTACTGGAATATTATTTTAGGAGACAAAGAGGAAGAGAAAGAGAGACAAATAGCAATACATTTATGGTATAACATTCTTGGAGTGCCTTGCCTTTTCACAAATTGCCTATATTACAGAGCACATAATAGTGAGAAATGAAAGCCCTTTTCTGATCAATTTTATACTTTTGATCAATCAATTGATTTCATGATTTTTACTCAAATGAGAGATCTGTCTGCAGCAAAAAAAAAAACCCAAAAATACAAAATGCATTAACACTAAACTGCAAGGATTAAAATCTAATTGCATACAAACATATTTTGTATATTTAGCTAAAAAAGAAAATTTTGATCAACTGTAACAACTAAGAAGTTTCAATTTAGCCTAATCATGAAAACTATGTAAAGTGATAAGATAAGAAAATGAATATGTTGTTGAGTATTGTGTTACCTATATGAGGGAAAATTGGACTCGTGGGCTAGAATCTACGTGAAGTGGTCATGATTGCTCGTCATATATCACCTGGAATATTTAAGTTAATAAGCAATTATTGGTCAAAAGGATACAACTAAGTGGGATGATAGTAAGAAAAATCTTATAACTTGGTTCACGGGTTATGTTTGGAGCATCTCATTAAACCCCAACAACCAAAAAATATGGAGATAATGAAATAAACACATTATTTGGTACCTCAAAGTCAAAGTGAAAATCCTAATAGAAAAACACAACTTACCAAATCATAAAGATGACGCTTGTAGGGTTCGTGGTGGTGTGTGTATTCATCTGGAGAGAAACAAAATATATTTCTAGGGTTCCTGCTGTGTATTCATCAAGAGAAGGAAACATAAACATGCGTGTGCATAGATCGATTGATATTTACAATTAAAAAGGATTTCTTTTTAAAGTGGTCAACTTACCCATCGATCCTAGGCACTAAACTGAAGCAGAAAATCAAAACGTGGGCATGAAATAAATTAAACCGAAAATCCAAAACGAAACAAACACTCAAAATTTGGTTTACCTGAAAAATAAAGCAATAGAACCTGTTATGTGACTTTCATCGATTCTATGGCGACCACAGACAGAGAAAGAAATGGTGAGTGGTGGTGGTGGGTTTATCAGACGATGGAAGGTAGTCTGTTTGGCTGTTGGCAAAGCAGGAGGTACCCATCTATACAAACAAAAAGTATAAAAGTATTGCATATTATTAAAAAATTTATGATTTTTATCCACAAAAAAAACACAAGAAGTAATTAAAGATGATGTGTGTAGATGAATAACATATGTTACCTCCCACTACCAGTTATCATGATGAAAGGTTCAGTTCGCCACCTATGTAAAGTATCACCCTGCATTTGAGAAACCAAAAGTTATTCTTTCATTCAACATACTTTTTCTTTCAAATTCTAGAAACAAACATGGCACATGGCAAAACAAGTAATTAAGGAAAGTATGTGTACCTGAGCATAGGAAAAGAGCCTCCAAACATACAAAATTTGAATTCGTCATTTGCTGGTCAACCCTGGAAGTCAAAATCGTAACATATTCCTTACCTGTGAAAGAATGAAATCGGGATTGATTTGAGCAGGTGTTCCTGTGAGTCAACCAGAAAAAAAGTCAAAATTGGTGTATTAGACCTGAATTGGTTTGATGAAAAAAAAAGTCAAAAATTTTAGTAATCTGGAATGGAATTGTTGCTTTGTTTGATCGCAATTTGAGTTTGTAGTTAACGAAGAACATGTGAAAGAAAGTAGAAGAAGAAATCAAGAAATAATTGAATCTGATAACCTCATATTTTGAGTGACGAATACAGTCAAACAAAAAAATTGAACACCAAAACCTAACAACCGACCTTCGTTAACCATAACCCAACAAAGAAATAGACAAAAAAAATTGGAAAAACCACTAACCGAAACCAAACTAAGACGAATTGCAGAAGAAATCGATGTAGGTTTCTGCCTGGGAGTGAGAAATCGATTACGATCCATGGTGTAGAGTCGGTGACTGTTGTGGTGACGCTCGCTTCTCGGTGAAGATGATGGCGGACGAAATATGCGATGCGTAAAACTTTTCATGAAAGCAGGAAGAACAGATAGGTAGAAGATGTAATGGTGGTTGGGTGCGTTTAGGATTTGTGCATTTAGGAAGAACTGATTTAGGGTTTTAGTGAGTAATTGGATCAGGTCTTCGGTGGGAGACGTTGGTGGAGATCTCTGCATCTTTGGTGGAGACAGTGAGAATTGGTTTGATGGCGGCTGTGTTTAGGAGATTAGGGTAAGGTCCGCGTGCAGTGTAATTCGTATCCCGTGTAATGTAATACGTATATGAGTTGTTATATGTTTAATATTATTGTACCTGATTTAACACATGTTGTACCTTTTAATTTTCAAGAAATGGACAATATCTTTAATAATATAGTAAAGCTATATTAAAGATGACCATCTTTAGGAATAGTGTCTGTTTGCCGGCCATTTTATCCGGAATAATGTCTGTTTGCTGGTTTTTATCCCACGCCTGTAGGTAATCAATCCTTCCAGTTTCTTACTTCCATCGTTCCTTATCCAAACCTTCTGTTCTTTTTCCTCTGCTTCCCGATCCTTCCACTCTTCCCAACACAAATCAAACTCATAGGAGTTCTGAGTTGTCGATTCCTCTATTATACCACCGAAGAGTGCAGTCGATCGATCGCTGAGTTCGCTTCTATCGCTCCGCCATAGCTGACGCCGCCGACTCCGGCTCCGACACAGAACACTCCGATGAGTCTGCCTCCACCACTGGAGAGGTCGGCGAGCCCTAATTTCGTGCAGGTCTACTTCGACCCCGGCCACATCCACACTCATCTTATCGACGTTACCCCATCGGCTTCCAGGGCCTCAGACCATTCTTCTTCACGCTTCCACTGCCTCTACTGTTACGTTACCCCGTTTTCCCTCTTTCAATTTCGATTCATTTTCGTGCTTCATATACTTATGCCTCCTTGATCTCCCAATCAGTTCTTTACAGATTTCATTACACCCACCAAACCTCACCGCCGATGCCCTCTAAACAACCTGCTCTGTCGCCTTCTTGTGTAACCAGTTACTTGTATAATCTATTATACCTTATATTGAAGATGTATCTATTATAAGGTATAATAGATTATACAAGTAACTGGCTTTGGCTGAAGGTATTCAACATCTGAACCCTACCATCACCAGCATGTGTGAAGTAATCGGCTTTCAATTTCTCATAGTTGTGTGTTTATTATTATGTTCAGGTTCTGTTGGATTAATCGGATATTGTTGGATAGGGAGCATGTGTGAAGGTAGGAATCGAGTTGGCTTAAGGGTCTTTTGAAGTAAACTGATGCTTTGTTTTTCTGTCCATAGGATTCTGTGAACAGAAATCACTATCTTGGAGAGTACAAAGGACAACTCGCGTCAAGGATTTTTTTTTGGGTTTAAAGAGTTCATCACTGCTATGCAGGTATGTCTTATTTCTTCTTTTCTTTTCTAACGTTGAGAACTAAAGTCATGAATGGTGATCGTGGGAGGTGTCAATGGAACTGCATGTATGAATTCTATCCTGGAACTTCCAATTATAACAATTATAGGTCGTCAAATTACATTACATTCCATCAAGTTAATTTCTTCTCTAAGTTTTATTCCATCAATTAATTTATTGAATTTATAACTATCGAATCCTTTGTTGACAGAATACTGTGTCATTCAGAGTAAAGAAAGGCAGACATGGCATTCTTATAAAATTTTGCTGTCACCGGCTTCTGATCGGTGCCCTGCTTCTCTGCACACCAATCTTATTTTCTTAATTTGGTAATTTTATTCTTTTATCTCCTTTTCATATGTTAATTTTTGCTAATATTTATGTTTTAGTATATGAAATAGCTATCTTGATCTAATGAAATATTTATTTTCCAGTTGTAATTTCCATTGTTTGTAGTTGTTGGTCATTTAGTAATATTCAGTCGGTTAATTCGGTCTAGAAAAAAACAAACCTTATACGTAACGCGTTTTATCGTAAGTAACAGTTTAGCTACTTTACCTAATGGGAGAAAAAAGGAAACAACCCCTGCGAAATATAAATCATATCTCAATTAGTGACCCAAAATTCCATTTTTACCCCTCAGGCTTGTAAGTTGAAAATAGGGGATGCGAAAGGACCATTGTTGGACACAAAATTTGCTTTGTGTGATCGTGCAAACAATCCAAGAGTTTGGTTTCGCCAAGGTCAGATTGGTCATTTCATAAACTACATTTATAAAAACCAATTTCACTTAATAGAATGATATTTAATTGTTGGCAAAACAAATAATTTTGTTCATATAGGCACATATGGCACTCAGTGAGATAGATGCTGCAATGAATTGTTTCAAGAAAGCAAAGTGACTTGGAACCAAATGATGGTTATACAATAAACAATTAAACGCCACTTTTTTTTATATATTTCCATTCTTTAATCAAAATCAAATCTTTATAACATTTATATGATTAAACATGTATATCCAGGTGGAATATAAAGAAGGTTTGTTTGCTTTATATGCAACTAGGTTATAACATACACGTGGAATATAAAGAAGGTTTGTTTGCTTTATATGCAACTAGGTTATAACATACACGGTTGACAAAGTAAAACAACATTAAAACTTTAAAAAACATAATCATTAATCATAGATTGGCAAACAGTTATTGTTATACAAAGTTATATGTTTTGACACTTATTGTTATATGAAGTTAGATGTTTTGTTCAAAACTATATAATCTTTAATTTAAAGTGATAATGCTATACAATGAAAACTAAAATTTAATAGAGAAAAAAAAAAAGAACAAAGCCAAACAATCATAGAAATAACATTGTTTTATTTAAAATTAGAAAGTAAGATAATATAAAAAAAATATATGAACACCATAATGATAAATCAATTACAAATCAAAATGATGAATACATATGTATTATCAATAAAAATAAAAGATATATAAAGAAAAAGTTTTTACTATTTTTTTTATAAAATAAATAATGAAAGAATGTAAATATATAGATTAAAATAAATAACCTTATTGTAATACTTTTTGAATTAGAAACTCGAGTAAGGTTAAGATAGGTTTGTTTATGATAGTTAACTTTTACCCTCATTATTTTCTTTTATATCATTGTTTTAAAATAAAAATATCATTAGAACCCCCTTTTTACCAAGTTAAAATTCAGGGCCTTGTGATATTTAGAAATGTTTGTGCTGTAGGAGGGGCTCATGGGATCAAGATTTTTGAAAACTAATGATGGATGGCTTGGAAAATAGAAACGTTGGATGAGTTTGTTAGTTGGCTTAAAAAGATAAAATCTAGATTAAACACAACGTTTCATAATTAATTGTTTAATTTAAATTAATTTAACAAATAATCAATATATATACCAAAATGAATGTTAGTATTTAACTTTCAAGTTGATTTAACATGATCCTCAATGAAAACTTGTCTTTTTGTCCGAAGTTGGTTCTCGTGTTTTTGAGGACTTCAAATATTATGAACACCACTTCATATTTATATATAAAAATTTGGGGCGTTCCCTTCAAATACATAATATTCTACATTTAGTAGAGCACAAGGATTTAAATATATACATGTATGCCAAAAAACTTGGGTGCCACATTAAACGTTTAATCACATGTTTTATATCCAAAATTTCAACCTTCCATTGATGAGATCAATGTCTTAATAAGCAATCATAACTCTGATGACCAATATACAAACATTCAAAATAAAACCAAAATCTATATTCATGATTATAATATAAAAGTATCATAACTACTCATTCTTGCCTGGTTATATGTTTGGGCATATAACATTCTCTAAAGAGGGGGTAGCTTACTTTGGTGGGCCGGATTTGGTTTCGACATTACCGCCCAACATTCCCTTGTACACATCAAATATATATATATATATATATATATAATATATATATATATATATATATATATATTATATATATAATATTCATCTTCATGTCACATGATAAAAGGACCAACTTAAACAAAATGGTCCAATAATATATACTTGTTGACTGTCTCTGGTTTCAATCTTACATTAGATAAAAGAAGAATTGGATCAGCATGTTTTGGAAGTGATTCTGCAATTGACTCTTCTCTCTCAATCAATTTCCTTCTCCTAAGCATATGTTCAACACATGAAATGGAAAACTCATAATTAAAACCATCTCGAATTAAGCACATACCATAAAAAGAAGAGATTTTGAGATCATAACCTTTCATTTTTCACTCACGTCAATGTGTCTATACTTTGGGCCACCTGATGTTTGTCTGTAATGTATAATAACAAACTACATCATTTACCATAACACTTTGTGTTTGTCTGTAATGGTGTACTCAAATAATGCATGTATGTGTTTGTGAAAGAAAATAACAACAATATGTTTAGATGTTATTTAATTTTCAACGCCAAATATCTGAACCAGAACCTAGCAAGCATAAATCTATACCAATTTTCTTGAAAGAATGTCAAAATGAAGATTATTTGAAGAAACGACATACCCAACTATCACAGAAGTCCAAGTAACCTCATTTCTCACAAACATTGCATCAAACACATTACCTGCAAATGTCACAGATTCCACTAACAGAGAAGTCAACATGAGCTCATCTTTGTTGTTGACCTGACGTCAACTATGCTGTACCCAAATCGTTGGTGAAGAACATTATGACACTGCACAAGACGTTAAGCAAACTTTACAACGTTACAAAGAACTTCAAGATATTATATATAAAATAAGAACACCAACAAAACCACATGAGAAACAGCAGAAGAACAAAAAAATGTGTTTTTCAATACACCCACATGTTAAAATCATACAGACATACAAAAATCCATGCCACTCATCCACTAATGATAGTGGTTAAGATGACAACATTTGGTTCATTCATAACTTGCAAAAGTGATTCGACTTTCTTGGGCTTAAAACATAATTTTTTTTTTATGTATGTTCTAAATTAAAAGATTTCATCATTGTGTATGTTTAAAATACAAACATAACTGTAATCATCAAAAAACTTGAATACAAAGTATTAAACTGTAATTGTGTATTTTTTTTAACTACTGAGGTTTAATAAACATTTTGGAAGTATAAAGGTAGGAGACTCATTTGATCATCCACTTAAATAATAAAAATAATTAGTATTTCAGTTACAATACAACTAAGGTTACATTTCACATTTAAATTGAATACATAAGAAAATAAAAGGAAAATGGGGGCTAACCTGCATCTCTTGAAGACGAAAAGAATTCAGGACCATCTTCTATTGGATTAAAATAAACAAAGTAGGATTTGGAAACCAATAGACTAAATTCATTCGAGTTTAAGGTGTTCTATCCCTACCTTCCTATAAAGCTAATAAATATTATATAAGCTTTGATTGAAAAATATGATGACAATGACTCTTTTGAAAAACCACAACCATGCAGAAGACCAACAAACACCATATACCATCTCTCTTTTATCAAGAACCTTACAAAAAAACATTCATAGATTGACTCTTGATAGTGGCATTACATCGAGCACCTGGTGGACATAGTTTGCTAGGCAACTTTTGCATACTCCAATCCTTATCCTGACAATTATAAAGCATAAAAAAGAAAGTTAATTTCAAAATAAAAAACCCACAAACCATTCAATTGGTGATTGCAAAGATAAAATCAATGGAGAGAAAAAGTGTAACGATTGAAATTGAAACTAACATCAATTGTAGATAGAAGTTAGGTTTAACAACTCCAATTGCACGGGAAAACCTTGGAGTCGATGCACAACGAATACAAAGAATACATCAATCGGAGTCCAAAAAAGAATACTAAAGAAATCATTTTAACTTACCTTGTGTTTGATTTGGGTACTTCCATTTGTCAATCGTCCCCTTCAAGCTTGAAGAAGATGAATATGTCCTTGGGGAAATATGGTGTAAAGAACATCAAACGCACTCAAAGGAAAAGAGATTCTAATTCCCCGGAGACAACGTTTGATACCCAAAACCCTAGAAACATCGGTTAAGTCTTGAGAGAAAAAGAACGAAGAGAGAAATCAGAGGGAGAAAGACCAAGAATATGTGTGCATAAAGAATCGAGAACATATATTAGTGGAAATCAAATGGGGTTTTCTTCCTAATTTTTGAAGATTACGATGAAGATTTATTGTAGATAACTTATGATTTGAAATTGATTGTGCAAAAAAAAATACGGAATGAGGAGAAAAAGAGGAACTGAATGAAATCTTCTGTAGAAATGTTGAGCGGGAAAACAAAAGGACTGAAGCATCATAAGCGGACACTTGGAAAATGTAAGCTTAAAAGATGACATGTGGCATTTTAGAGAGGTTTTTAGTAGGAAGAAAGATTTTGATTATGAATATTTAATTATTATTTATTAATTTTATTGCCAATAAACATACGTAGGAGGCTGACAGCAGGGATTATTTTGTATTTTACTTTAGAGTACATTTCCTTTGAAAATAGAACATATATTCATGTGAAATTTTGCAATCTTCATATTTATTTTCAATATCAATTTCCAAAGTTGATATATGGGTAATTGATGTTAATGTAATAGTATTTCATATTCATAACTTGGGCTACTATATTTTTTTTGCATTTGGTATATTCTAACGGGGGTTCTTTAAAGTCATAAGGATTGAAAACATACCAATAATTAACCTCTGAGATTTGAAGCCTCTCATAATCAATATCATGAAGTAATTTAGCCAGGTTTGACCTTTTCTTGCATTTGGTATATTCTGGCAGAACTTACAAAAAGATGTGTCTAAGTTTATAAGATTGTCAATTCAATTGTAATATGAGCACTTAAACATAAACTTTCCTCAAATAAATAATATGATATTCTCCAATTCCTTTTTTTTACTAATTAGTTAAATATACAACTTCTCTTTCCCTAAAAATTAATTTATTCCAGACATTTTTTTTGGTATGGGTTTTATTTTATCAAAAGTGTTTGTTGTTGTTTGTAAAGTTCCTGTTTGCAAAATCTCCTCAATAGCAGATGAACATGTGTGTATAATTTTTTTTTGTTTTTTTACCATTCCAGGATTCCAGCTTAGTCCAAAGTAGTTGGAATTCAAGATTTTATTGTATGATATGTTTGGTTACCAAAATCTATTCAAACTTGGGAACCAAACATGTCACTTTTCCAATTCAATGTAGAAATAGACATGCAAATAGATGGTTGCCCAAATGTATAGAATTAAATTGCCAAAAGGTATAGATCTCAATTGTGAGATGTTTGAAACTTGAGAAATTTCTATCCTACTTTTGCTCCTCGTGATTTTTTCTAGATGGTTATTCCCATGTATGGCACCCATAAATTTGTCATGTCAAACACCTGGTGGCTGGATCACTTTAATACATTGTGGAGCATATATCTATAATTCATTTCCATTCACTTTGTGAGATTTAACTGCAAATTGTGAATATAGTTACCGCCTTCAATTAGATTACAAGTTTTTTCCTTGATGTTTGGTATATTTATGAATCATGTTTAGGACATCGATCTGTTTTGTTATCATTAACAGTTTTGAGACTAAACTACCCCTATGTAAAGTTATTTTGTTCATATTTCAATTTTGCTGAAAGACTTCCCCACCTAGTTATTATAAAGAGAGCCAATATAAGACTACCCCATGTAATGGTGGTAGTTTTAAGTTTTACATTGGAGGTCTTCGAATTTAATCTAGACCTTAGTGATTTCTGTTAATTTGGTGATATTAACCAAATGTTCAAAAATATTATTATAAAGAGAGGAATTTAAAAATGGTCCATGTGGGTTGTCATTTTCTTTGGTTTTGGTCCTTGAAGTTTCAAAATTGCAAACTTTGTCCCTACCAGCAGATTTCATTGTGGATTTGGTCATTGAACTTAATAGTTGTTTGTTTTTGTTGTTAGCCCACCCTACGTGCCCCTCACGTGATGGGTATATTTGCCTTTTCACCTCCCTTCTCCTCTATTAACCGAATATGAACCCTAAGCATTTTCCTTTCATCTCCAGTCCACTCTGACGATCACTATTCCTCTCATCTTTGACACTCAAATCAGAAGCCCTAAGCACCAACTGAGATGATATTCTCTTCTAACATAAGGTATTAAATTAAAATTTTAAGTTATTTTAGTTAATATACACACCATAAACAAAATAAACAACGATTAGATTTCATTTATTCACAAAAAGGTTGAAACTTTTACACCAAAACACTAACTAACTTAAATATTTAACAAAAAAACCATCACAAGCTTAAACCTAACAAGAACATCAAAAGCTGCAATATTGAGGCTTCACCCCTCTCAAGAAGTGTCGTACGATCATTTAACCGTTCTTGAATAACCTCTGGCAGATTGTTGACGGCCAAAAGAAGCTCTACATCTTTAACTTGAGATCCAAAGAGGTAAAGTCGTGCGATAACTCTATTGATGGGATAGGGGAAGCCACTGAGTTTGTAACATCCTATTCTCGACACATTTGATTTCCTGGTCCCATTTTTCTTATTCCCTAAAAACTGAAATTTGGGAATTTATCGCCTTGGGCGCGACGCCCCTTGACCCATGGGCTAAACGATTTTTAGGGTTTAGAGCTATTTATACACACTTAAGTCTCTGGGGTTGGATCATTTACAACCTCCCCCACCCGTAAATAGTGTTGTTAGTACATGAAAGTGCCCCTTAGTCAATCCGACCCAATGTATCTTTCCGAGATGGTGTGGACTCCGAGATGAAGTGTAGTTTCCGAAGTAGTATAGTTCAGAGATGTCTGTATTTTTGAGATGACTAGACTTCCTAGATGATGTTACTTAAAAATTTAGTCCATATGTTCTGACTTAAGTGAAAGTACTACTTTGTTGTTTAGTATTTTAAATGTAGTTTCATACAACCGACAAGATCAACAGCAACGGCTGTGTCAGGCTGTTGATCTTCAGTCCATGCGCACATTAATTATATTTGTCTTATGTATCTCTTTGTCTATAAAAGGAGTGTCAACCTTTGTAACAGGTAACCATTGCACCTTTTGAACAACTTCACTTAAATCATATCAAAGAATTATTCAATTAATCATTTCTCTCTAACATTCTTCTTGTTCTTATATACTTTACACTGTTCATACTTCATATTAATCATCTTGAGCACTTTGTTGAGTTATTTATTTCAAGGCTTGAATGGTTTATCCAGACTTGACTGGATCTTTTATTACAACCAACCATTGATGTTAGATTAATTCAAGGTTTGAGTTTTCAAACCTTGTCCGCGAAAACCCCTTGAACTCACAATTGGTATCAGAGCCTATGTGGTTGTCCTTTGAATCCATAAGAACATATTATAGTTGGTTAAAGATTAACTTGGTATCTCAATCATTTCTGTGTTCATGATAAAAGTTCTTTTATATACCACTTCAACTCTAATATCTAAACATCAATAGCTGCTTCTAATCAATATTAACAAATATATTCAATGGAAATCGAAAATAACATGGGTTGCCCATCATGTGCCCCATTGCTAGTTATCGAAGAGTATAATCACTGGAAAGTCAGAATGGAGAGATTTTTTATTGAGAAAGAAAAAAGGTGAAGAAATATGGAGGTCAGTGAAAGAAGGACCTCATGTTACTTTTAAGCAAATGGTAAGAGATGATGCTGCTACTCTCATGGGTCAAGAAGAGCTCCGATAGGCACCTCTAACTGCAAATGATGTTGAGAAACTCCATGCAGACCAGATTGCCTTTTCCAAAATGGTGTTTTATGTTCCACCATCTCTCTTTGAGCACATTAATTTGTGTAAATCCGCCAGATAGATTTGGAATTCACTTCAAGACTTGTTTGAAGGATCGGATAATATGAAGGACAAGCGTCTGAAGTCGGTGGTGAATGACTTCGACACTTTCACTACTACTCCTGGTGAATCTGTTGTCTTTTCATCAAATCGGTACAGGATCATTGTGAACAACATGAATGCACATAGTATTGTTTTCACTCCACTTGAGTACAATCTGAAGTTTATTAATAGTCTCGGAAAAGGATGGGGAAATGTTAAATCATGTATTCAGAGTAATGTATCTATAAAGAAACTGAAGCTCTACTCGACCTGTTCCGAACATCCAATATAGAGAAAACTTTGATCCAAAAGCTGTGGATTACAAACTTCATTTCCAACATGAGTTTTCCCTCCTGTCGATGAAGCATAGGAGACCACAGAATCCTAATAAAAAACCTCATCATAACAAATTTCAAGCTCCTCACCAAAGAAATCCTCAACTGTTGGAACATGAAAGTGACGCTCGGCAGCTATGAAGAGCATTAGGAAGCAAAGACTTGTTTTGGAATAAAGAAAAGTTCAAAAGAGAAGTGATAGCGGAGATTTCATTAAATATATGATAACAAAGAGTTTTGTGTCTAATGACTTGACTGCAGACTTGGATACCAGAGATAATGTGACAACCGTCAAAATTTGAGATAGTTTTAGATTTGAATAAACTTAGTTGCACATATAGGCACGACACATACTAGACTTTGTAACTAGTTATAACCTACTAGAAACTTGGAAACAAGTAGAATCGAAAGATAGTGTATTTAGATTTGACATTGATATGTGAATTCTACAACTACTTAACTGTAGTGACTATCCGTATTCGGGTCATTCTTTGACTCAGACATCTTTGCGTGAATCATGTAGACACTTCATGCACTTGACCTAGCAGTAGAAATTAGGTCCAAGTCTCATAGGAACTGAAGTCAAAGTTGAAACTATGACTGCTATACTTAATTCTTCAATTTCGCTTGAATCTTGGAATCACTACATAGAAATGCCAATAAACCGATAAAAATAAATTACAAACATTATTTCTTACTTGAATAAGAGTAGGAAACCCCAAAATAATTCGAAGTCTCAAAGATTCAGTTTATTTTGATATTCAAAGATTTATTAAATCTCAAGACCCTAAAAACCCTAAAAACCCTAAAAACTCAAATTTATAAACTTTAACACCTAAAAATCCATAAAATTTGGTATGGACTTTATACTATCAATTTAAAATAACTAAATTTAGTAAAATATAATCAAGGAGAAATAAAATTTAAGTCATTAATATTTGGCCTTATTTTCTAAGCCAAAAATCAAGATTTTATGAGTAAAAACTATATTAAGGTGCATATTTTATAAAAAAATTGGTATTTTTATAAAAGATTTGAAATTTATAAAATTGGAAGAGAGAGGGAGCCCCTCTCCCCTTCAAAATTTCGGCCACCCTCTCTCCTCCTTCAAAAATTATCTTTCCAAAACATTTAATCATTTTACACAACCCTATATTCCTCACTTTTCTTTCACTCTTTCTCTCTCACACTCAACCACTCCATTTCTCTCTTCCTCTCTCAAACCCATCCGAAAATCATCCATAATCTTCCCTAAACCCATGAAATTTATGGTGTTCTTGGATGTTCTTGAAACTCAAAATCGGAGTCTAGGTAAAATACCTCAATCTCTCCGTCATTCTCCTTCGCTTTTCTTTAAAGTTTTACAAGTTTTCTTACACTTTCTTCTTCTTCTTCTTCTTATACACCGTTCTTTATGAACATTCATGTTCATACCAATGAATGTCAAGTTTGATGATGATCGTGGTAGGATTTCACCCAAGAACAACATGCATGTTGTTTGATGGTGAAATCCAAGGACCAAAACCTATGTCAAACCCTAAAATATGGATTTTTACTAGTTTTAAATGTTTATCCACCACAAGCATCCAATTTTTCCTTTGAAAACATCACTATGAACAAAATATGTCCATCATGGTCTTCAAACTGTGATGCATGTGATAAACATCAAGCTTAAAGGCTTGATAATCAAAGTACATTGTTAATAGTGCATGTAAAGGATCTTATTCACAAAAAATCTAAATCTCCTTTTCTGTTCAAAACATATATTTACCAGAATCCCAATAAGAAAATAAGTAGACTTGGAAAATCCCAAAAGTTGTTTTCATTTCTTTGATTTATTGTAATTTTTACAAGGAAACAAGACCATAAATCATATAAGATACTTTCTGAGGTCCATAAATCCTAGATAAATCTGTGGATGACCCGTAAAGTAAATAAAGGCCTCTCATGAGGTTTCATCGATTTTGGTTACTTTTTGATAGGATTTTTAAATTTTCTTTCGTTTAGTTCCAATAAATCCTAAAACCATGATAGAGAATGTGAAAAGCCCATCTATGACTTTTTACAGCTCCTAAACCACATGGAATACTCAAAAAAATAATTTGGGGATTTTTCATAATGTATTTATATTTTTCCATGATTTTTGGGTATATAATGGACTAAAATCGGGAAAAACAGTTTTACTCATCCAAAATTCATAACAATTTACCAGAAAATCTTATATTAAATTAGGATACTATATAAAAAGTTAGATGATTTTTCTCTTCTGAATGCTATTTTTGTTCTAGTTTCCTAAGATTAAATACACATAAATCCAAAACTCGAACTCTAGTATATGAAAATCACATTTGGTATTTTTCCCATCTTATGTACACTTTGTATGAATTTTACAAAAAGTTTT